ACCTTTGAATTCGATTCTTAGTGAGCTGATTGGACATACAAAGGACCAGTGCGTTTTTGTTTTTACTCTGCTGTCAGCTAAAAACAACAAGCCATCTACCGCTTTGTTCTTCGAATTAAAATTCATTGTGGGTTTTAAACTCGTTTTGCATATATTTTCACACTTTTTCCGAACAAGATATAATCGAAGTCTGTCTTCTGCTCGCCAACGTTACTTACACACAGGAGCGTTAATGCGACATTTCCAAAATGTTAAAACTTAGCAATAATAGTTCATAGTTCGATATGTATCATAACAATGTAAATAACAACATATTTTTTTATATGAAATTTAAATAAATAAATCAATTTTTATCTCCGTGTTGAAATCATTGCTTTGTTTGATTGACAGCCATGCGTACAACGCTATGTCGAATTACATATACCCAACTCACTATTACAATGTTGTTAATAATTCATTTTTTTAAGAATGGCAGAAAAAACGCATTTTTATATTTTTATATTTTCATTAGTTTTTGGAAGGTTTCTTGAAGAAAACTCGTTGCTTTTTCATCAGTTTGGGCGTTGATGTTTGTCGATCCCCGTACAGTAAAAAAAAACTTAATGTAACTTCCTGCGGGCATTGTAGTTTTCCACAACAAACTAACGGCCGTTTTGAGAATCGATGTGTCATAATCATACAATGTTAAAAAAGACATTTTGTATTCATGGTTACGTTATTTTTGTTGATAAGTAATCGAAATGAATTATATGTGGTTTCAGCTGTTTCTCGGTTACTTGTAATTGTGACATCGAGCTGTGTTTGCCTACGACGCGATTAAGTATTCTTTGCAGTGTTTGAAAAAAATGACAAAAAGTTATATATAACACGATTTACCAATATTTTTTTAAATTATACATGACACCTAAATAACAAATTGAAAACTCAGTCATGGGCTTGTTTAATTGACCAAATAGCCCAAATAACTATTAAAATTACTTACTGTAAAATACTTTATTTTATCTAGAATTATTTTTCGATATAAGGATTTTTGGGATGTTTTGTATGGAATTTATTTTCACTGATACTTGAAGTATATTCGCTGGATTAATTCCAAGCGAAAATAAAGTAACCGTAATACAACGAACCAATTGTATTAGATATTAACATTTGTCGGTGATACTAGAATCCGACTGCCTTCAGTCTGACGTGTTAAAACGTGTGAAAACAGTTCACAGGGTCGGTCTTTTAGGACACTGGTCAATTATTTCAACGTGGTTGGATCTCACACTTTTCTATTTACACAATGTGTGAAACGCTTTAGATTTGAGTGACAGTGTTTGTCGGTTTTCCGGATTACCGTACCGCAAATAGTAGAATGCTTCGTTATCATCACAATGGAAAGACGGTCATTGCTTTGTTTGTCTTGAATGGTGAGTGGTCTTGGCTGGCGCCAGTGGTCTTCCCTCTGCGATCGGTAGATTAAATCATCGCAGTATCAGGAAGGTGTGGAGGACATTCACACTCTGTAAAAACAATATCTACCTCGTTCGTTTGAGCTCATTAAAAAGTTGGCACATTGGGGTATGTACGCGAGTGCGTGTTGCCATTGAACTAATTATGCTGCCAACCGACAAAATCCTGAACTATAAACACGTAAAGATTCCATAGAGAATTTCTTAATTATGTGTCGGGCATTATCAAATCTAGAATAATCCCATTTTGTGTGCCGTGTGTTTTTGCATGCTGACCTTGTTGTAAGATCTTGCTTAGATGTAAGTATATCTGAAGATTTTAAAAGGTGTATTTGAAAATACGTAACAAAATACGGGATACAAGAAAAAATCACGCCCTAAGTTAATTCGAGTTTTCTCAATTTTTCCAAATATAGAAATAAATATGTCGAATATCACATTTGTATAACGCGAAACCAATCACTGATACACTGGTCATTTTATAATAGAAACGTTGTCTATACACTAATACTATACATGTTTACGATTTACATTATTATTTTTTCTATTTATTATGACATGCCAAACTACATGCGAAATCAACCACAAACAAACTACACCAACACGCGAACCGGGAAACTATAAAACTAGAAAATTGTCAATATTTAGTCTTCATAGAATAATTAGTACATGTGAACACGGTTATATTGCGCTAAGTTGTCCCCAATGCCTTCAATAATAGGGGTACCCGCGGGTAATTAAATTCTCATGTTAGTTCATCTCACAACAGACATTGTACTAGTGTTTCCAACTTTAACGAGTTTTTGTCTCTCGTCAAAATGTCACAACCACAATGCACTTCGATACAATAAGATGCATTTCACGTGTCTTTAAGCTGGCGCCAGTATGGCGGCGACAGAAACAAAAGCATAGCCAATCTTGTCTATCCACAAAGCGCATGCGCATAATCGTCTCATTAACAGGTATATCAGTACATGACATTTAATGGGTACTTTTCGCGACTGCGTACATTCGTCACAGACTCCCATACAACATATACACCCATCGGTGCAAATGTGTTGTTTACAAAATTCGAACATGCGTGGTGGTGACGACAATATCTTTAATTTTAAAACTATCTAAATATATCTATATGTTCGGGTTTCGTTGCGTGTATTAAGTTTGCATGCACTAATTAAATAACATATTCTGTGTATAGCCTACTGCAAATTAATTGATAATTCAAGTTCATCCCTTTTTTAGAAACTGTGATACGATAAGGGACATATTTTTCTGAATCATCCACCACCAGGGTCAATATGCGGTGACGAAAGTATGAAAACTAAAAACATTCAGACGCATTTGTGGCGGGTATGGCGAACAAGGATACTAATAACTGTTTATTAGTAAATATATCTAGACCGAGTGTGACACGGGGTGGCTGGAATGGAGAACAATCTTTGCAATGGGCACTGTGCGTGAATTCGCACAACCGGGTAATTTATTTGGGTTATACTGTAGTTCTTGGTGTCAATGTATGTGGAACTGTATGTTTCTCGTCTAAAATGTTTGTTTTTTTTCTTCAGCAAGTGGCTAATTCAAGTTATATGCTCTTCACGCAGAACGCCTGTATATTACCACGACGTTGTAGCGCCCTCAAGGCGAAGTCGTGCATTTTATTTGCCTTCGTTTTACGCTCCATTTCGATATGTTTGTCACAGGTAAATATGAAAATAAGTACACAGAAATATTGAACTAGTTTGGAAAGAGTTTTATTGCATCTACAGGAAAACCAGACATTGTTTGACACAGTATGTTCCAAGATTGCAAAGCAAATGAAACTACGTGAAATGTTTGTAAATCACCGACGAATTGTTCAAATTGAAGAAATGGTACTAGTTGTCATCGCCAATATGTATGTGGGGTACACAGTGTCGCGGTAGTTCGTGAATTTGCCGTCTTTTTTGGATTGGTGTAGACCATCAGTTCTGGAACCAGACACACCTAAAATAACAAGTAAACAGATAATTAGCTATACATTTCATTAATCAGTAATATACTAGCTTGAAATACTGTGAACAATATACACACATGCACTATATAGACCTTATGTCCACTCGTGGTAATAATGGAACTAACCTAACGATTGTAGCGCGTGAGGTAGTAGGAATGATAGTCAAAATGTACATTGAACTTACCATGGCGTGCGTCAATTTATGTATCCGTAGATGACTTCAAGTAAACATCGTGGATAATTCACACAACGTAGACATACTTGGTTACGATCATCCTATTGACGTCGTTGATCGAAGTAATGTAGTTAATATGAAACGGGATAATGTCTAACCAATGGATAACTCGGCGAGTAAGGGTGGCCAATTACTGGTCCTACTGCAGGCCGTGTCATTCCCATGTGTCCTAAGAAGGCTGGGTAATACGTCGGTGCAGAGTACGTCATCGGTAGCGGGTAGATCGGTTGGTAGAACGGGGTGGGGGCTGACAGTATGTACGGCGGTGATGCGATGAGAGAGTGCGACGAATGCATTGGTGGTACGAAGTATGACGTGGGTAATACTGGTGGTATTGTTGGTAACTTGATAGTTGTCATTGGCTGTGGTTCGTCTGAGCTGGTTACTTTTTCTGCTGATACTTTCGTGATCTGTTCAGATGCGACTGGGCTCAATTGTTTAACTTCGTGGTCAACCGGTTTGTCTTCGGTCACTTTTCGTTGTTTCTTGAATCTCATGCGGCGATTTTGAAACCAGGTCCGAATCTGAAACCAAGTAAATAACAACTGAGTATGAGTGCTTGTATATGTGTGTAAACAGTGAATAATGTATCGCCTGACTAAAAGACACGAGTCGCGTCGTCAGAACAAATTTGTGACACACTTATTTGATTGAGCGAATTTACAAATGTTAAAAAAATTACCTGATTCTCTTTCAACCCGATCTTCTGTGCAAATTCTTCTCGTTCGTCCGTCATTAAATATTTTTGCTTTTGGAATTTTTCTTCGAGTTGTACTAGGATGTCATCGCTAAAGGCGTTTCTTGATTTCTTTCGTCTCGAAACACGGGTGCGATCAGTATCCGCTGTAATTGAAAATAAAATGACGATTTGTCAGTACAGAGAAGTAATATACAGTTTAGTTATAAAATAAATAAATTTTGATTTCCCGCAAATGGAATAAACTAACTTTCCAGTGTACTTACCAACAGAAGATTGGATATTATCTCCACTTCCATATCCGGCATCAGATGATGTCGAAGATGTTGGACTCGGGAGCTCCTTTTCAAGACTCATGTCGTTCTCAGTCACATCGAGTTCTTTGATAATCTGATCATGCATTGTGTCTATGATTTCAATCTTACGTTGAAGTGCTCGTACAGAGAGGTGACAGAGGAATGACCGGGTCGTGCTTGAACAAGGTTTATAAACCATTTGGGTAATTTACATGATTTAAATATTCATGTCTCAGTGTGTAAATTGCCTTTATACGGACAAACATGTCAATTGTTCGGTCGTCAATGGAGGTCGCTTTTCAAAGCTCGCTAAGGCGTGAAATGCTTTGATCCAAGGTGGTAAAGTTTATAGCTTTGCAGATTAGCGTGCTAGTTAATATACGATAAAAAAGTAGAATGGATCGTTATCATGACAATAGAAGGCAAACGTTTGTTGTTACATGGATGAATAGACGTTGACTTGACTGGCGCCAGCGGTCTTCTCCTGATACGAAGTACAACATGAAGTTACGGAGTTAGGGTGTCAATGAATTAATGATGTTCTCACCTCGTACTAACACCATTTATACTAGTACGATATGCCAACGATATTGAAGTAAAGTGAAGTTGTTGTTGAGAGTAAATTAGAATATTGCCTAAACTGTTACAATACGTCAGATCAAAACAAATTTAGGAAAATAAAATAATAAATAGAAAAATAAAAAATAAAGTAGCTTGTCGGGGTGTAACTGGCGGGGCAGTATGATATGATTGTTACGCCAGTACCCCATTTCTTGGAACTATTTTTGTTCAAGCTATTTTAGGTGTATCATGGTGTATATACTTTTTTCATGCCTTGAAATGAAATATCAGATCTCTTTCAAAATTCCTCGGCTGGAAATTTTTTTGTGTGTAATGTAGTTTAATTTACCTGGTGCGTATGTTGTATACGTGAAGAGAATTTATTCATGGAGTGGATGCGAGTGTTTTGCCTAACAATCATTATGGTTTGAGCTCATTTGGAAGTAATATCACTCGCGGCAATAAATAATATGCCACACTGTGACGTTGTATTCGATACGAATAGGGGCAAATTAACGGTGTCATATAGGATGCTTTCACACCGTATTCTGTTTTGTCTTCTTTCAAGCTTTATCGGTTTTATTGTTTTCCGTTAAGATAACTGTGAAAATACACGCCCCTAATACACCCGATAACAAAGCGATGAGTCCCGCGGGTCGATAGGCTGGCGCCAGTGCGGCGACACCAAGAACAAAGCGCGGACAGTAAACGATACTAGTAATTCGACTTACTCCTTATCAACAGGTGGTTGGCAACAGTTCACGGAAGGGAATGCGAGCGCAATATACTTGCATTTAATTCCATCAAATACTCTGTACTTTTTTTCCGCTTTATCTGTAAAATAAAATGGCTCTTGATCGTTTTCAGTTGCAGTAGACACCGGAAATATCTATCGTGATACCCATTCCACCCTTTTAACTCAGAAACATTATTTTGTGAAAGTTGACCATAAATCGCATATGTATTGGTTTTACAATGTACGACCATAGACCCATAGTTTTATGGCAGCGTGCATTCTCTGCCTGGTAGCAGTACCATACTATAAGCAAAATAGAATTTAGCAAAAATGCTACTTTTAGTACAATTCAATAGAACGCAGTGTTAATGTCAAATATTTGAAACCTATGAAATAATTCCGGGTAGCATATTGTACCATTGATATATAATTTTTCGCATCGTATGTCACCAGCCAGTAATCTGTGGCATAAGCGTTCTAATACCGACAAACATGGCCACCACGCACTAAAATGCATTCATCTTTCACAAACTCTGTTTATTTTTATTTACTCGTGGGTGGGCTTCTATCTTAACGACGGGGACAGTGACGTTTACCCACACCGTCAATATTATATTTAAATGAATTTAAATAGTTGTCAGCTTTGCTCTTGGTGGCGTCAATGTTGTAATCCACTTCTGTCTTAACGTGTGTTCTTCACGTATTCAGTAGGTACTATGCAATATAGTCGAGATCACTGGCGCCACCTAAAAACAACAAACACGTCTCATGCATTGTTCTCCTAACTAAATCAGTTATCTTTGTCAATTGCGTAGAACAATGGGGCAATAATGGATCGCATCGAGTCGGACTGTTTCTGTGCATTAACTGTGTGGTTCGAGTTATCTCGTAATTAACATCAACCCGGGATTTGTGTTCCACGGCTCGAGGATTGACGTAGGCTATATGTCATTGGATGGCAATAGGAAAACCTATAAATGAACTTATATTGTTGGCGGAATAGAGAAAAAATTGCCAAAATAATTTATTAATCGCAATAGTGAGTTATGTCAACGACCCAATGACTGTGTTGAATGATTATACAGTGTATTTACTGCTGGTATTAATCACATCATGATTTATCTATTAAATATGATTGCTCGAAATCGTGGATTGTAGTTTATTCGTAATAGAATGGAAATCATTTGGAACTACGGTCACATACGAACGTTTGCTTGGGAGATATTTGTTCACAATATCGTCTGCGCCTCATGTTATTCCTGAATTGTTGAATATGCGTTCAAAGAAGCAACCATCTGCCCCTCGAACCTGATACACTATATATGTAATGATTGGACTACCATGCAAAAATTTATATTTAGGGGTTTTGCTTATCTAATCAACAGACCAGAGATATAATACGTAGTGTTTAAACTGAATCACGGGAAATACACACAGAAACGCACGAATATTGTTTTATTTACTTATTTATTTATTTATTTCTTGGATCAGTACGACTGTCAGAACAATATTTTACAAATAACTCAGAAATGACATTGTGCAATACTGACTGCAACATACAACAAATATATCACGTGGTCCAGATGATGTTTTATTAAATAATGTTATACACGGTGTAGTGGTTATCACACAGGTTTCCATCTTAGGTGTAAATTATTATCAGTGTTCTGGAATTCATCGTTTTGTATTTTGGCTTAGTGACCACCAGTTTTTAAACAAACGCTGAATAACAGAAAGAAAAAAATGATTAGTTATAATCGAAGATATTTAAATGATATACATGAATTGCTATGCTACATAAACAGGGAACGATGTATGAAATCAGTTTAACGCCTGATATACACTAAATAGTAGAGTAATCGACAAAAAATGAGTTGACGACATCACATGATGTACTCGTGTAGTAGTTACTAGCGTTTACACTGTGAACTTACCGTGACGTGAATTAGTGTAACAGCATGGTCCATGTAAACAGGGTGGATAATACACATCGTAGATGTACTGTACTGGGTACGATCATCCTATTGAAATTTGACGAATCACTGTAGTTAATACATGTTATACGTTACTGGATAATGTCTAACTAATGGATATCCCGGTGAGTAAGGGTGTCCGATTACTGGCCCTACTGCCATTCCCGTGTATCCCAGGGAAGATGGGTAATATGTCGGTGCAGAGTACATCATCGGTAGCGGGTACATCGGTTGGTAGTACGGTACGGGAGCTGACAGCGTGTACGGCGATGATGGGATGAGAAGGAGCGACGAATGCATTGGTGGTACGAAGTATGACGTTGGTAATACTGGTGGTATTGTTGGTAACGTGATAGTTGTCATTGGCTGTGGCTCGTCTGCACTGGTTATTTTTTCTGCTGTTGAAGTCGTAGACCGTTCAGCCACAGCTGGACTCAATTGAGTTGCTACATCATCGTCGCCTGGTATATTAACCTCTCGCTGTTTTTTGAGTCTCATGCGGCGATTTTGAAACCACGTTCGAATCTGTAAATAATTAAATCACGTTTCTTAACAAATTGTAATATGGCCACACGGAGTGCAACAAATCAATGAATACATACTGGTAGTATGTTTGCGTTGATTCATATATCATTTGCAATATATATTTTGTTATTCAGGATACATGTTAGTTTTCTTAATTTCAGCGCTTTATAAATGATGAGAATATTTACCTGATTTTCATTCAATCCGATCTTCTGTGCAAATTCTTCTCTTTCGTCCGTCATTAAATATTTTCTTTCTTTGAATTTCTTCTCAAGTTGTACAAGAATGTCATCACTAAAAGCGTTTCTGGATTTCTTTCGTCTCGAAACTATGGTGCGGTCAGTATGAACTGAAACGAAAACAAATAAAACCATTTATCAATACATGAAAATTAACATTTTAGTTCTACCAAAAATCTTTTTGATTTTTAATAATATATAAATCAACTTTTTGTTTGCACTTACCAGCAGGGGAGTTGATACTATCTCCACTTCCATATCCAGCATCAGAAGATGTTGGACTTGGGAGTTGCTTTTCAAGTCTCATCAGTTCGTTCTCAGGTTTTTTGGCAATCTGGCTGTGCATGATGCATACGATCTTCGTAATAAAGTGCTCGTACAGAGGAGTGGCGATGAAATGACGAGAGTCCTTCCCCAACCAAGCTTATAACCGACTTGGTAATTTAAATATTGGTGTCCAAATAAGGGACTCATAAACGTGAGAAAACAGTTTAAGGATCTAACTATTTGAAAGGTTTTCAGTTGTTCGATCGTCGATGGATGTCGCTTTTCAGTGAAGGCGTGAAGTGCTATGAACTTAGGTGGTAAAGTTAGCAGGTTTGCCGACCAGTATGCTAGTTAATATACGATAATACATATAATGGATCGTTATCATGACAATAGAAGGCAGACGTTTGTTGTTACATGGATGAAAAGACGTTGACTTGACTGGCGCCAGCGGTCTTCTTCTGATACGAAGTACAACATGAAGTTACTGTGTTAGGGTGTCAATAAATTAATGATGTTGCTGCACTAAGGTGTAAAAATATGAATAGTGTTCTCACCTCGTATTAACTTTCTTTAACCAAATTACTTGAGGCCACACCTACTATAGGGCAATTATTTCGAAAAGCGCTTGTCATTTCGTATTAAAAATAAGTATATATTCAGACTTCTAGACTGTAATGATACCTTTAATTTATTTAAGTTGTACATTTTAGAATGAGAAGAGAATATGTGAGCAATGATTAGATCTTCGGAAATTCGCCGCCAAGTAGTGAAAACAAGTTTAATATCGTCACAATGTTTTTGATTAAACAACAAGGAAGGTTACTTACGTCAATAAATCATACATGACATGGCACTATCACTGTACACGTTGTGGTTTATTCGATACGAATAGGGACAAATTAACGGTGTTAGGGCGTGCACTGTTTTGTCTTCTTCCACGCTTTATCGGTTTTATTGTTTTCTGTAACCAAATCCTGTGAAAATTCACGCCCCCTACTACACCCGATAACAAAGAGATGAGCCCGTACGTCGATAAGCTGGCGCCAGTGTGGCGACGCGCAGAACAAAGCAGACAGACAGGTGGTTGAAAAAAAACAAACACGGAAGTGATTTTCAACAACGCAATCTCTTAATTAATTATTCGAAAGCTCAGTACTTGTTTCTTCTAAATCACGAACTGATTCTCGGTTTAATTTATTTCATACTATAATCAACGGCAAAACCCATCTTGGAAAGTACACAGAATATAAAGATATGACGTAGGATTTACTTGGAACAAATAATGCAATAAAATACAAGCATAATATCTACCTACACACATGAGTAAAAATAGTTCATTTTGAAATTCTTAATCGAAGAAAAATATCGATATTGCAGCTAGATAGACCATTAAAAAATGCACCTGAAATAGTTAAGTATATATTCGTTGCGATTCCTGCAGTCCGGTTATGAAAAGTGATTACGTCTACTGTGCCCATCGAGTGTGTTAATATATATATATATAGTACTGAGAATAGAAGAACAGGAATTGATTGAATTAACCACTGTGTTGCAAAAAGGAGGACGGAAGATGTAAGATAGAAGTAGAAATTCTGCGGTAAATGGGTGCACTACCATGTACTCTCAACTTACAACAGATACAATTCACAAATTTGAGCTGTACAAGGGGTAATGACTTTGATGAGGTTTGATAACTTGATATTGAAAATGAAAAGCATTTTTACCCAAAAAATAGCGTTTTCAAATGGCCTAAATTTGCTACCACTAAAAAGGGCCGAAAATCGAAAATTGAAAGGAAAAATAGAGCGGATTGAACGTAAAAATGTGGGTCGAAACAGCGGCAAATAGCCGTTATAACTTAACTATGGGAAAACGTCCCGGAAACACGCTAAATTTTTTCTGAGAGCACAGATGTCACACGCAACGTAATATTACCGTAATTGGTATAGTACAGGTGTGATGGTTCAAATACCAAAATGGCAACAGTAACAGAAAGACTTCCCTGGCGGCGATGATAAAATACGAACACGGAGCCAACAGATAAGGTTTCAACTGGTACTGGTATTATTATAATACTCTGCAAACATCAAGTACAATAACGCGGTAAAACTCCACTACTCCAATAACTAGATACTTAAACTCCAATACAGTTCAACGAGATCTCCGATCTGATCTCAGTGCTGAACAACTCCCCTATATATACCCACACTGTTTATAAATAGACCATTACATCAGCATACATAATGAGTCTGGAACTTACTACAAATTTCTAGAATGTTCCATTACCTTATATTGCCTCCTACAGTGTTCTATTACCTATTCAACCAACTTCTAAAAATTCCACCCAGACACAGTACGGTTCTAAAACATTCTCAGTCACACGGAAGTGGTAAACAAGTTGTATGCGACAACAGACATCGGCAATATCTATACGGACATCATCAGATTTAAAGGCAGGAACGCAATTTACTAAACTTTTTAATAATTTGAAATCAAATCAAAACTTTTGCGGGCATGCATGTTTTGGTCTCTCCTCGTTTGTCAGTGGATGTAATCACGCGTCCAATTGGCGCATCCATCACCACGTGCATTTGAGTTTATAACCGGCTACTGGCGCCACCTAAAAACAACAAACCGTTTGTTACATTGTTCTAGAATTTAAATCAATTACGTTAATCAAAGAACTTTGACGTATCCGTCGATGTTAGACAATGATGCAATAGACGATACCATTGAAAAAAAACATAATCTATTTGAAGGTATTAAGCTATTTGAAACCATGTAATTTACACTATCAATGTCGAAACGCGGACTCCATAAACCACATATCGCTATGATCAGCAATGACGTCACTAATTTGTAAAATAATTTATTGTTTTTAGAAGCCGTATTTAAGAACCAGCAAAGGAATCCAACGCACGCTTACTAGCCGTGTGTTAACACTTGCCGACAATGACAATTTAAATACTTTTCTGGAACCAGAACCTACTAAAAGTTTTAAGATACGGACGCATTCAAATCGCTGATCATATATGAAGATGGACGTGAATCAATCGGGTGAATGGACTGTGGATACATCCACCCCACGCGACGAATACAACTATTTTATAGCTAGATTACTGTAACACATGAATTACTCCATATTGGGTCGCGTCAAACAGTTTCTGGTTCGAGCTCATTGGCGGGGAAGCGGTCAACCTTCCAGCAATTCGTACAAGGCCACTAAGCCTCGCTGGAGAATATGTTAAAGCGCCACCAGTGCCATGATATACGTATACTTTAATTCGGTGACCAAAATACTAATTGAGTCAGCCGATTTACGACATATAGGAAAACAATAAATGTACAAAAACACGAATATTTTGTTTTCATATTTTATTTAACAAGTACAAGTGTCTACGCGAAACATTTTTCCAGGTGTTGGTATTCTTCTCTCAATTGTTTACAAGACACAGTGATGTTTTAATAAAACTGTCAATTGATTGTGGATAATAGCGATTACACGCCTGGAATTATTATAGATGGGCAAATATTAGTTGTGCATTATGTGATCGCTTTGAAATTCACCGTGCACGCCAGCTGTTGTGGCAAGTTATAATACCAGTTACGTTCAACTTTACTTGTACATTTGTTTACGTTGCAGTTTTTCCCGATGTGGACAATGACAAATTAACGGTGTCATCTAGCATGCGTTCACACTTTACTCTGTTTTATCTTCTTTCACGCTTTATCGGTTTATTGTTTCTTGTTAACGAATCTTGTGAAAATACACGCCCCCAATGCACACAACAACAAAGAGATGAATCCCACGGAACGATAAGCTGGCGCCAGTGTGGCGACGTCAAGAACAAAGCAGAGACAGTCGACGATAGTTCAATGCAAATCAATTTGTTCAGTCGCCGGTTTTGTTTAACCAATAATATTATTATTAACTATTTATTTTCTTACTAATACTAACTAATTCCTATCGTGACCATGTTCGTGCTCGCTTACATGACAAAGTGAGTTCATTTTATTCAATCTATAAACTAATGTATTGGCCTGCATAATTGTCAGTGTCATGTGACATTTGTAAGATATGAACGCCTTCTCCTAAGCTCTTATGATTGGTTATTCATAAATATTCTTTTTGTTAATAATTTTGCCTTCACGTTCAGATATATACATTTCTTAGCAAAAAAATTATAAATTAGTTTTTTAAAAGCGGAATCGGGCAATAATTAGGTAAGTCCACGTCCATGAAAACACTTGCGCGGATTGTAAACTGTCTACCCCGTGTTAATTCCACAATCTTCATAGGTATAAGTAAGTAAAATAAGTGCGCAGGGTAGGAAGAGGGTACCAAGAGAAGAGATTACAATTAGAAAAATGAAAACGCTTAATAAATACTGGTCTCGTCGATGAAGGATCTTATGTCCTCTTATTTTTCTTCTCTACATTAACGACATTAACCATGCAAATAAATTGTTTTGATTTCCGTCTATTTGCAGATGACACAAACTTATTTAAATTCTTGAACACTAATAAAATTAACCTTACTGATATTAACAAAGATTTCATTGAAGTCGTTAGATGGCGTCTAGCTAACAAACTTACAATAAGTGTGGAAAAAACTAACTATATAATAATAATAATACAGTTTTATTACACCGTAATGAAATTACAAATTCATTTTTGGCTGAAAGTAATAAAAGGTAAAGTAAAAAGGTAAGTAAAAAACAGAACGTTAAAATAACATAAGGTTTGGTAGTAAAAAATTAGTGTAGTTTGTGTTTTTCAAAACACACTTTCAGATACTGTGTCACATCATAGACTCTTTTAGAGGGTCTATGGTCACATGTCTAATTAGTTTAGGATTATTAGTATTAATAATAAATTTGTCGATATTGTTTTCAGACTGGAAAGTGGGGATTTCCTTGGTAAATTCAGTGTACATAATATCCCTTTCATCAGTGTAACAGCTACAGTCTGTAATAAAATGAACTTCGTCTTCAATACTGTCGCTTCTACACTTATCACAAATCCTGTTCTCCAGTGGGATTTTAGGTCTCTTATGTCTGCTTACTTCTATTTTGA